TACTGAACTTATATTTTAAATAATGTTCAACAGCAAAATTGCTGGTGCAAAACTACATCACTTATGATTCTGCAAGGAAATTATGTTGTGATGTTGATTATTAGTTGTATGATTCTACCAATTAGCAAACTTCTCTTCTTGCATGCAGGAGCGCAGAGATGAAATTGCGAGAGCAGAAGTGGCCAACAATGGCAAATCCATCACTGAGGCTCAAGTGGATATTGACGTTGCTTGGCAGTGTATTGAGTACTATGCTGGCATTGCCCCCACTTTGTCAGGTAGGCTTGAATACTGGTTAATCAACTCGACAAGGTGGCTGGTCTCAAAAAAATAGCAAAAAATGTAAATATTTATACATCATATCTAAGAATGGTCTTTATATACTCAGGCCAGCATATACAGCTTCCAGGAGGTTCTTTTGCCTATACCAGAAGGGAGCCACTGGGAGTGTGTGTTGGCATTGGAGCTTGGAACTACCCATTCCAGATAGCTGCCTGGAAGTCAGCCCCAGCTATGGCCTGTGGTATGAGAAGATTGCTCTATGTATCTGTAATTTGTGGCCGGATTTTGGTGCTCCATCCTTTTCTTGTTCCCCCCCATGTCCGTTTCTCTCTCTTATGGAAACATCTTCTCCTCTTAGGCAATGCCATGGTGTTTAAACCATCTCCCATGACCCCAGTGACAGCAGTCATGTTGGCAGAGATCTACAAAGAGGCAGGTGTCCCAGATGGACTCTTTAATGTGGTACAAGGAGGAGCCGAGACTGGAGGACTTCTGTGTCACCATCCCATGGTGGCCAAAGTGTCCTTCACTGGTAGTGTTCCCACTGGAAAGAAGGTATAGCATTAAAACAAAATAAACCAAAGAAAATTAGTAGCATTAGTGCAAGGTAATGTTAGCTGTAAAGATAAACATTTTGAACCCTCATCCTCATTCAGTATGCAACAGTAATTCAGTAGTTCTCAACCTTTTTGGCCCAAAGGCTGTATTTCTGTATTTTCCAGTATTTCTGCTATAATTCTGTTTATTGACATTTTATTTAGTGTTTTTTAGCATTTAGTTTAGATTATAGTTAGGTGTGTGTGAACACACCCCTCACATTTTTGTAAATATTTTATTATATCTTTTCATGTGACAACACTGAAGAAATATATATATATATATGTGTGTGTGTGTGTATATATATATATGTATATGTATGTATAAAAATGTATTGATATGTTTATTAACTTATTTTAACATTATATTAATGTTCAGTATAGTATGCCTGTGTATAGTATGAATATAAACTGGACATACCGGATGTCATGTGACCTACCGTTGTCAGTGCCATTTTATGAATACTGTGAATACTACAGACGTACTCTTTTCACATATGGTTTTTCACCCACTATGTATTGGGGACATATGCAAATGTGTTTAAAATGCATTTTTGATGTGATTTACCCTATTAAGGTTATGGAAATGGCAGCCAAAGGTGTGAAGCAGGTGACTCTGGAGCTTGGAGGAAAGTCACCACTGATCATCTTTAAGGACTGTGAACTGGAGAATGCGATCAAAGGGGCCCTCATGGCCAACTTCCTCACCCAGGGAGAGGTGTGTTGAAAATTTAATAATAATTTCTGTCTCAGCCACACACTTTTTACAGACAGAAAGCCAATTTTATCATTTGTTTATTTGCACTTTCAAAGTGTGTCTGTTTTTTGGTGTCAATGAAAGCGAGTGCATTGCATATCACTGGCTTTCCTAGATGCTTTTAGGTGGCCCAGATGGGGCTCAAACCCACAATCCTCCGCTTTCAGTAGGCCATCAGGCCCACATTTACAGCTTCATTGGTGTCCTACTGCACTAATGTAGTACTTTAATGCATGTAAATTTGAACACATTTCTAGAAGACAGAGCTTCTTTATAAATACACCAAACCTGCAAAGGATAACAGTACCGTCACTGCTGATTTTTTTTTTCCAGGTGTGCTGCAATGGAACACGGGTGTTTGTGCAGAGGGAGATCATGCCACAGTTCTTGGAGGAAGTGGTGAAGAGGACCAAGGCCATCCCTGTTGGGGATCCCATGTGTGAAGAGACACGCATGGGTGCCCTCATCAGTAAACCCCACATGGAAAAAGTGCTGGGCTTCATCAAGCAAGCAAAAGAGCAGGTACTGCAGTACAGTGATATCAACATGAAATTATTTTATTTTGTAAATGCATCATAGATTTTATTGTGAACAATTTGTCCAAATATGTTTTTAAAAATTTTTTTGACCTCGCAATGTTTAATTTAAAATGTCAACTCAATCTTCTGCTAAAAATGACAAATTTCTCTCTGGTTACATATGCCAGACGTATCCAGTCATTTTGTCTGCATAAACCCCACCCCTCCACAATTTACTGCAAGCTTGCATTCATGTTTTTTTGTGCAACGCCCACATCTCAAAATCCAATCCACTACTTTCCTTTTTCTTTTCCAAAAATCTGACTCAAATATACCTCACGGTATGGAAGACAAGGTCTTTCACTTCTTCCATTTTATCACGACTTGAACTACTTTATTCCACTGTTTGTTCAAATATTGTTCATGTAGGTGAAAAAAAACTTTTATCATTGTTGCTTTAGGGTGCAAAGGTTTTATGTGGGGGAGAACGATTTGTTCCCAGTGATCCCAAACTGAAAGATGGTTACTTTGTGTCCCCATGTGTGCTGGGTGAGAAAGCCATATTATTACCTTCATATTAATTTGTATGTTATATAACAAATGCTTTAATTTTATCTCAAAACCAGCTTGATTCTGAGTCACCGTTTCTTTATCTGTACTTAAATTTACTGTACTACAATATACACACAGACAACTGCAGGGATGATATGACCTGTGTGAAGGAGGAGATCTTTGGCCCTGTGATGTCTGTTCTGCCTTTTGACACGGAGGACGAAGTTCTTCAAAGAGCCAATAACACAACCTTTGGATTGGCATCTGGAGTCTTCACCAGGTGACGCCACCATACAGCAATACAATACAATATCCTTTCTGGTGATACCTGTTTTTTTTATACTAAGCTGATATTTTTGCATTTTTGCATTTATTTATTATGATTATTAAATCGTTTTGTAGGAATCACTATCATTTAGTTATCTACAAAGTAAACTAGCTACCCTAATATTAGATTTAACATTCTCCTGTGCTCTGTTTTTGTAGGGATATAGCTCGTGCCCACAGAGTCGCTGAAAACCTTCAGGCAGGAACGTGCTACATCAACAACTACAATGTTGGCCCTGTGGAAGTTCCTTTTGGGGGCTACAAGATGTCAGGTACTCCAAACTTATGGTTTCATGGGTGATTATTGATGGTGTCATATACAGGAAAAACTAAACCTAAATCTGTTCTGCCAAGAGTTTTAGTACACAAGTATATTTAGTAAAAGCCCTAGAGATCTAACATTAATATCCTCCTTTTATTTTAGGGTTTGGAAGGGAGAATGGACAAGTGACCACCGAGTACTACTCTCAGCTCAAGACTGTTGTGGTGGAAATGGGAGATGTGGAAAGCCTCTTTTAGGCTATTGTGAGGTTAACCACCAGCATTCCTGACAGCAATGTGGTTTCCAAAGTTCTTATGAACTATATGAAGTTTGCCATGTAACATCTTAAAAATGCATTTTATAACTAACAGTCCCTTACTTGAAATGTAGCCAAAAGCTACACTGTTGTTGCTTTGATTGTCCATATGTCTGTCTCAGACTTCCAGATTGTGTTGGTATGATATTACTAACATGTAAGAACACTAGAACAGGCTTAACTGTTTCAGTTCTGTGAAATGTTTGACAAACAGAATTTTTTTTCACAATTTTCAAAATGCTCATTAAAAGCAAGTGCCTTCTGGTATGTTTCTACTGTAGTTATATTTCACAAATGTATTGTAGTCGCCTGGTGTTAGATTTGTTTGTTTTTCTTCACTATATCTCTACCACTCAACGCCATGAAGAATTTGTATTAGACTGGTGGTGACAAGTTTGTAGTATTTAAAATAAAAGTACCCTGGATTTCAAGAGCAAAAAATTGTCTGTAACCTTACTTCACTTTTATGTAGCTTATGTCTGTGGTGTGAGAGGTTCCAAATGTTTGTCCTTACAGACAATGATGGGGTTATTGTGAATGAAAACGTGAATACTTTAGATGTGTAATAATATCAGGAAGTGTGTTCTATAATTTATTACATTCTAGTTATTCCTCAGCTAAATTAAGATAAGATGAAAACAATGTCACTGGAATCAGATTGCTGCAACATGTATGCATAATACATGCACTTGAAATGAAGAACATCAGTGGGAATATTCATACTACTTTAAATGTTTATTCCTTTTTACAAATTTGATTGGTCCCAGAAAATGTCTGGATCTACCAAGTTTATTTTTGACACAGAGGAGCTTTTTCAAAGAGAAATTATCTCCTCTAAGGTTACCAAAAGAATTCTAAATACAATTTAAAAATGAATAAAACCTTGTTGGATTGGATTATGTGGAGTAAATTATAACTTTCGCCGAGGGGGCTCATCATGGGTAATTAAGAAAATGAGATCTATACATCTATGGGCAATAGGGATACTGACGCGAGTATCGAAAATATCGATACTCAAACATGACAAATGTGGAGAATTAGAAACAGTGAAACATATTATTGTTGAGTGTTCTGCATATGAAAGGGAGAGATGTCAATGAATTCAAGAATTAGGATGGCTGGGAGTTGATAATATTTCTTTAAAAGTATTGTTAGGAAATGGGTCGAGGCAATCAAGAGTGCAAGAAAATATGTTTAAATACCTGAAAAACACAGGAACAATAGATAGAATCTAGTTTTTTTTTGTTTTGTTTTTTTTCCTTTCTTTCCCTTCTGTATTTCTTTCTTCCAAATTTATGCACACTCCACACTCCAGATCAGTAGGTGGCGGTAATGCACCTCTTTCGCTGGTTTGCCAATCCGCCATAAAACACCAGAAGAAGAAGAAGAAGAAGACGATTTCGGACACAGGGCTCCTTTGCGGACATGTGATCCCTCTTCAAAATACTTCCGAGGGAAACAAATTACTAAATCACAGTTCCTTGCACCACCCGGAAGAACAGTGGCGCAGTTGGACTTGGTGACTTGTCGGGAAGGGCAAAATCTGATTGGTGACAGCTAGGTAAGTATGTTTTTTTCAGACTAGAAGGACAGGTTTCAGAGCTAATTGTTCTACGTGGCAACATTGCTTTTTAGCAGCCGCGTTTTTGTACCGCTGTATTTCAGGTTGTAATGTTCCTCCTGCATTAACTGTTTAAATATTACTATATTTTCGTGTCACCGGGGCAACTGTGGTTCACATGTTTGTTAATGTGTTGTTTCTACATTCTGGTCCATCTCAGATGCCCTGCTACAACACAGCACACTGATACAGGAAGCATTTGTGCAAGATAAATGGCAAACAAAGGTAACAACAGTGGTAAATATACAAAATGGTTTTGAAATGTTATGTTTAAATATGTAAATGCTGTATTATCTTATTAAATGTAGACTAATTAGCATAGATTTCCACAACATACATTTACACATAGGATAAAGCCAGGTTCAAATTCCTGTTTCATTTTGTTGGCATATTAAAGGTTTTTACAAGGGGGATTTTCTCTCTTTTTATAAATAAGTCAGAACAGCTGAACAAATTCAAATGTTATAGCAATCGGGTGAATTATATTTGAACAATCCCTCTGTAAAAACCTTCAGAATATAAATAGGAATAAAACTGGAAAGTTGGGCCAATGTAAGATGAAGTTGATTATATCGCTGTGCTCCCTACTTTTATCGTGGAGAGTTCCTGCCCAGAACAGAATCATAAAGCTAATACAAACTGTATGCTAATTGTCAATAATTTTTGTCTGAAGTGTTCGTAACAGAATGCTTTATAGTGCTGTTCACACTCCGTGGTTGCACACAACACTATATACTTTAACTTGTCTGACACACAGAGGAGACAGGAACGCTTTCCTGTCAACTTTCAGATGCCATGCAGCAAGGAACTGACTCTAGGTCTGACCCAGGACATGATACAAAAGAGAAAAGTGAGAGTAGCAGTGAACCTGAGGAGACACAAACAGGTATGCTTGCACATCATATCATTCATGTTTAGAGAGTTTACAGTGGCTACATTTAGTTATTCATTGTCATGTAACAAAAAATATGCAGAGGAGATACGTTTATGACATTTACAAATAGGACTGTGTGTTTAATCAAATGTTATTTTAAATTATGATTCTGGATTCCAGCAATTATGAAAACAAGATAATTGGAAAAAGCAATTATTGTGCCACATTCTGCTTTGCAGTGATACAGCTGTATCTCAATAAATTAATAAATTATATATTTAATATATTGTATCGTATATATCGAATACATATTTAGTCGTTTTTCAGTAGGTTGTGGTGGTGGACTACAACATAGTTGATCTTATTTTTTCTGATTAAATGTATTTTTATATTATTTATTTAAATTTGTGTGTATCTCTTAAAATGTGTTTGTTGTAATGCTTTAAAGTTCTGTTTACGTTCAATTATTGCACACAACACTATATACTTTTCTTTGTCTGACACACAGAACAGACGACACAGATTCCCAGTAGTTCTGAGACCGAGAACCACCCTCACTCTGGCACAGAACCTAATAGAGAAGTGGATGGAGTGAAGGGCAGTAAACCTGAGAGAAAAGAAGGTATTTTGTCTTAGAATAAAGCATGAGATTGGAACCAGGGGCCCGTTCTTCGCACGTTGCTAACTCAGTTAGCTGGATTTAATTGTTGACAATTTGGCACGATTTTGGATTATTTGGTTCTTCGAAGCTCATCCCGGAGTTGCTGTCATAGCAACAGGTCCGTAAGCTTAAACCTGCTCGGGAGCAGGCTTATTTCTTGTAAACAGGATTAGATTGCATCTTTTTAAGTGGAATTGATATTTAAAATCTGTCCCAGCCACTGCAACTTTATTACAAGAGTACCCTACTAATCCGGGGACAATAATTTAAAATAATAATAATTTAAAAATCATGTTTTATAGCACTCTTTACGTTCAGTTATTGCACACAACACTATATACTTTAACTTGTCTGACACAAAGAGGAGACAGGAACGCTTTCCTGTCAACTTTCAGATGCCATGCAGCAAGGAACTGACTCTAGGTCTGACCCAGGACATGATACAAAAGAGAAAAGTGAGAGTAGCAGTGAACCTGAGGAGACACAAACAGGTATGCTTGCACATCATATCATTCATGTTTAGAGAGTTTACAGTGGCTACATTTAGTTATTCATTGTCATGTAACAAAAAATATGCAGAGGAGATACGTTTATGACATTTACAAACAGGAATGTGTGTTTAATCCAATGTTATTTTAAGTTATGATTCTGGATTCCAGCAATTATGAAAACAAGATAATTGGAAAAAGCAATTATTGTGCCACATTCTGCTTTGCAGTGATACAGCTGTATCTCAATAAATTAATAAATTATATATTTAATATATTGTATCGTATATATCGAATACATATTTAGTCGTTTTTCAGTAGGTTGTGGTGGTGGACTACAACATAGTTGATCTTATTTTTTCTGATTAAATGTATTTTTATATTATTTATTTAAATTTGTGTGTATCTCTTAAAATGTGTTTGTTGTAATGCTTTAAAGTTCTGTTTACGTTCAATTATTGCACACAACACTATATACTTTTCTTTGTCTGACACACAGAACAGACGACACAGATTCCCAGTAGTTCTGAGACCGAGAACCACCCTCACTCTGGCACAGAACCTAATAGAGAAGTGGATGGAGTGAAGGGCAGTAAACCTGAGAGAAAAGAAGGTATTTTGTCTTAGAATAAAGCATGAGATTGGAACCAGGGGCCCGTTCTTCGCACGTTGCTAACTCAGTTAGCTGGATTTAATTGTTGACAATTTGGCACGATTTTGGATTATTTGGTTCTTCGAAGCTCATCCCGGAGTTGCTGTCATAGCAACAGGTCCGTAA